GCCCAGCCAATGGGCGCGGCGCCGCGGCGCTGAGTCCTGCTCACTTTCTCCAAGACCGAGGGCTGGCGGTGTAGACCCCTCCACCCTGGCCAGGTCTGGGAGCTGCTTTTAGGAGCCCAGCCATCTGACCCTTCCTGGGGGCTTCGACCTTCTCGTAAGGAACCAGGGAGCGCGGCCCATGCAGAGATCCTTCTAAGTGGAAACGCAGGCTCTTCCAGCCGGAAGGAGGGTGGGAGCTTCACGCCTGCACTTCACAACGCTGGACGCCGAGGGTTCGAGAGGCCGGGCGACTGTAGTTCTACATTTGCTCAGCGCCCTTGTCTCTTCCCCGGTAGGGCTAGGTATCTGCTCAAATTGGATCTTTCTTCTTAGCCGACAGAACTTGAACCTGGACCTGGGTCTGTGCCCTTCACACGTGGAGCCCGTTATTCAAGTGCGGTATATGATAGAGGAGGGAGGAAGAAGAGAGACACTCAGAGGATCCCCAGCTCCCTTTTTATTTTTATTTACTTATTTATTTATTTATTTTTTGAGTTGCAGTCTCACTCTGTCGCCCAGACTGGAGTGCAGTGGCCGCTCCCGGCCACCGCAGCCTCGACCTGCTGGGCTCCAGCGATCCTTCTGTCTCAGCCTTCCAAGTAGCCGGAATTACAGGCATGCGCTACCACGCCCGGCTGATCTTTTGATTTATTGTAGAGATGAGGTCTCGCTGCCCAGGCGGGTCTCGAACCTGCGGGCTCAGGCAATCCACTCACCTCAGCCTCCCAAAGGCGCGGGATTACAGGCTGAGCCACCGAGCCCGGCTCCAGCTCCCTTTTTAAATAGTCGCTCTTAGCCCCCACCCCAGCCACTCATTCCAATGCACTTGGCCGGCTCCCCCATCGGAAAGTAGCTGTGGGAGAGGGGAGAACAGAGCACATTTGGGTGTGATGGACGGTGGACAGTCCTGGCTAGAGGGCTGTGGCAGAACTAGAATAGATATCTGCGGTGTGAGAGTCCTGGGGGTTGTGGAGTGGAGAGGGTCCCGGATGTGGGATTTGGATACGCAGAAAGGGTTTCACAGCAAGCAGGTGGTTGCGTGCCCAGGGAGATGCTTTGGTTGAGGATGTGGGGCTGGAGAGTCAGAAGGAGTGGATGGACTATAGGTATTCCTAAGATGTGTGCAGATGCCAGACTATGCAAGACACAGGTCATAAAGAATGCAGTGGGAGAATCTAGATGTGTAGAAGTGTTGGGCCTGCCTTGGACAACTTACAGTTTGCTTGAAGAGACAAAGGTCCAGCTTAAAAGTTGGTGCCATCTAGGAAGGGTATGGTTGGTGCCATCTCTTTCCTGCAGCTTGCTGCAGAGAAGGAGCAGTGTGCAAAGAAGGGTGACTTCTCTCTTCCTAATGGGCCTTAGGAAAGGCTTCATGGAGATGGTGGGGCTTTGGCTGGCTTGGAAGAAAGGGTAGGTTTTGAAAATGTGGAGACAGAAGAGTTAGAAGAAAGATCTGGGGTGTGGGGCAGGAACTGTGTAAAGTTAAGAAGGTTGGAAGGTTCAGTGTATTTTCAGGGAATGATGAGAAATTCATCTGGACGGTAGGGAAGGCTTCTGATCTGTAGAGTGAGGCATGCAAATATGGACCTTGGAAGTCTCACAAAATCTGGGTGTACAGGATGGCGTAGAGGTAATGATGCCACACTTGAGGTCCCTTGATAAGAGGAGACAGGAGTGAAAAAAAAGAGGGGTGACCTTATACAGCCATATACAGGGAGCACCACTGAGCCAAACTTCTGAAAATCCTAGATGGGTTATCCTATTTTTACAACTAGGGAACACAGAGATGACTGGAGCCTTTGACTGTCAGGCTGGAGGTGAAGGAAGACAGGTTCTTTTAAGAATTGAACATGGCCTCTAGGAGGCTGTTTATTAGGAAAAGAAGATTTCAGCTCAGGCCCCATGCCAGGTAAGCAGAGCGCTTCACTCAGGCTCTCCATTTTGTGTCCTGTTTTCTTCTGTTTCCTCAGAAGCAGGGACCATAGTAGGGCCCAGGGCCATAGCCAGGGGATGGCCCACAGGGTCCTGGACCATAGCCAGGGGGTGGCCCACAGGGTCCTGGGCCATAGCCAGGAGATGGCCCACAGGGTCCTGGGCCATAGCCAGGGGAAGGCCAATAGGGCCCTGGGCCATACCCGGGGGAAGGCCCACAGGCCCCTGGGCCATAGCCGGGGGAAGGCCCACAGGGCCCTGGGCCATAGCCAGGGGGTGGCCCACAGGGCTGTGGGCAGCAGACAGGTGGTGGCCCACAGGGATAGCCTCCATTGTAGTGACCCTGTGGAAAGTCAATGTCAGAGTCAGAGGTTTGGACCAAGCTTACCTGAGGTCAGCTCCCCCTCACCACACTCCCCTAGGGACTCAAGATTCCTGGGAAAGCAAGGGGTTGTGGTGAAGGACTGGGAAGCAGGGGTAGCAAATGCCTCCTCTAGCGCTGTGCCCTTAGTCTTGGTGAAGCCAGAGAACTGAGCAGACAACAGGGGAGCAACCTGGATTTGTTGGTCTCTATTCCTTGAGCTATGATTCCCACTTCCTGCTCTGTTTATTTTGTCTGTAACTAAGAAGCAGAATGATTTTGTCTTCTCCCGTCCCTTACCCAGGAACCCTTGCAGAGTGATTAGAAGATTTACCATGCTAGGAACTGTAGGCTCACTGTACTTGAGGACAAGGGTAAAGATAAGGGGCAGGGGGACACTGCAGAGGAGCTCACTGAGGGCCTGGTCAGGGGGAGAGAGATTGCATGGGGAGAGATGCAGGCAGAAACTGAGGAGAAGGAAGAGGAGGAAGATAAGCTGGAGGGTGAGAGCAGACCAAGGGTAGGAGGTGGCAAGGTGAAGCTATGAGTGTTCTCTATATAGGTAGTGTGTGTACGTACAGGGTGTGTGCTGTGTCCGTGCATGTGGGTGGATGCATATACAAACATGCAGTGAGCACAGATGCATGCATGGAGTGTGTGGTTTTGTATACACGAGAATGGGTGTGTGTGTGAGCTCATGCCTGTTCCTGAGCAAGTCCCAGTCCCAGGAAATCAGGAAGAATAGAACATAAAGTCAAAGCTTTACTACCTCAGCCATAACAGGCCTGGAAAAAGTGAAGTTTAACCTCTGTCTTGCCTGGGACCACTCCTGAGGCCCCAAGGTCAGAGGAGTTTCTTTGCCTCTTGCCACAGGTCCAGGGTGGAGGAGAGAGACACCATCTTGTCCCCATGCTAAGACACTGGGGACTGGTCCCAGTGTAGCAGGGGTGGAGCTTCCACTCTGGGGGTTGGGTAACTTCCCAGTCTGCTTCTGCCTCCTAGGGCTGGGTTAGGGCTTGGTGCAAGTGAGAAAGAGGCAAGGTCCAGGGCTGGGTCTTTCCTGTGACCATGGTAGAGCAGCCACTGCCCCGTTAGACTCAGTGATGCCTGGAAACAGCTGCTTCCCTTCTATGGCTCTTTTGTTTTGGGGGGACACAGATCCAGGCCTAGGAGCTGGGTCTACTGGTGGTAGCCTATGGAGAGAAGGGAGCCTCTCTTCTCTGGAAGAGGCAGGTCCTAGGGGCCCTGCAATGTGACTGAGGTTTGGGAGCAAGCCAGCCATCCAGTGAGGCTGTGGGGGTAGCCAGGAAAGCAGAGAAGCACAGAACAGGCGGAGAAGCAGCAGGAGAGAGGATGGCTGCTGGGGTAGGGAGGAGATGTGAGGAAAGGACAAAGACAGATGGGAAAACAGAGGAGAGAGCGCCAGAGAGAAGGCTGCAGCCTGCAGGGGGTGGAGGAATGCAGGGATGCCCGCCCCATGTGGCTGATGCCTGAGCCCGCTCCCTACTTTTCATTTGGGGAAAGTGGTGGCTGCTCCCTGAGGGTCTAGGAAGGCGGCTGGGGGTCTGGAGGGCATGACAGTGGGGAGGAAAAGGGGAGAGGGTTAGGGAACTTTCCGACCTTCCGACCTGTAGAAAAGGGAGGGAAAACAAGAAGCAGCATTGGTCATTTGGTTCTGCAGTGAAAAGCCTGTCTTCTCCCTGGCACTGATTTTGTGTCCACACCCCTACCCCAACAGGGCCTCTCAGACTTAGTCACTTGCCTTACAGTCATGCCTCCATTCATTCACTCACCAACAGACCCATACTGAAAGTTGGTACAAAGTCCAGTTGTGTGTGTATCCCTGTGTGCTTACCAGTGGGCTGAGTCTTCCTGGGTGGAGTGGAGCCAGTGAGGAGGTGTGGGTTTTTGTCTCAACTCTATTAGCTTAGAGGCACTTTGCGGTAGCAAACCCTGTTTCTGCCCCCACCCTCCCTTCTCATCTGCCCCTGCCCTTCTCAATTATCTCAGCCTAATCTGTGCTCAGCCTGCCAGAGCTGTTTGTTGGTTTATGCTTTTGACATTCTGGTCTCAGCCTTTGCTCATGCTTCTTGCCACCTGGAAGTGTCTCTGACTCAACTTTGTGCTGCCTTCTTGCAGGAAACCCACACTGATTGGGCCATCCAGCCTGCCCAACTGTGGGTTTAGGGGCTCATTCTGCAGCAACTCACCCGAGTGGTCCTGAATGTTCTGAAGTTCTCCATTGGTGAAAATCGCCTGCTATTTATCAAAGGCCAGGATGGTCTTTCGTTCCTTTTGAGGGGAGCTGATTGCACAGCTGTCAAGAGCTGGATTCTGGGCTCCAACCCAGCCACACCTCCCTGGCCTTACCCTGAGCATGACCCTAGCTTCCTGGAGCCTCATGTGTGCAGTGGGAGAAGCACCTGCCTGTTTTATGCAAGGCTGGAGCTCTAGTGAGATGGAGGATGGGTAAGCATGTTTCTTAAACTGTAACATATTCTTCACAATATAAGGCTTGTGTTCATTGTGAACCCCTACTGCCACCTTCATACACATACACACACACACACACACACACACACACACACACACACACACACAATGCACACATACACATTGTTGGCATGCAGCAGATATGGCTCACCAATCACTCTGCCTCACCACTCTCCTTCCTTCTCCTGTCCTTCTTCCACCCCACAGCCTCCCAGCCACAGTGCTTACCTGGATCCATCTTGATGGGACAAGAGCAGGGAGTGACACAAGGAACACCTGTGTGTTCAACAGATAAAGTTTGAGTTTACTGCAATCTAAATCACAATCTCTCAACTTCCCAGGATGGGAATCGGCAGCCCTGGAAGGGACCTAATGCAATCCCTTCAACTCTCAGCTAAGACCCTCTGCCTGGCATGGCAGAGGCTGTAAACCAATGATAACTGAAGTAGATAGTGGAGGTGCAGGTGTCCAGTCCAGGAATGTGGGCAAGGCAGATGGACAGACATGCATCCAAGTGCACAGCCGTTCAGCACACAGACCCGCCCACCCACACAGAAACACAGAGGCATGGATACCAATTCAATGCACATACACACAAACCCAGATACCCGACCACAGTGACATGCAACACATTCCCCCCAGAGACACTCCTGCCTTTTGCCAACAGCAAGCAGAACCAAGTCCCTACCTGAGAGTGCAGAGCTGGGGCAGGAAGTCTGAGGTGCTGTCTGTCTTCAGGTGTATTTGTACAGGATAGGGAGGGGCTGGGATTGGCCAGGTGCACTGGGAGGGTCATTGGCAGAGGGCTGAAGGGAATGAGGAAGGATGTATTAATCCCTTTTAGGGCAAAGAGCAGCTGGAAGCAGGGTGTTTGAGTATGTGAGAGAGGGGAGTAGACAGGAGGCAGAGTGGGGAACAACCCATTACCAGATTAGTATGGTAATGAGATACCACAGGAGGGAGGCAGGGTCCCCAACCCTGGCAATCCCTGTTTATACTCAGGGACCTGCTCTAAACATTTGTGAAGCTCCTACTGAAAGCCAGGCCATGCATGGGGTGCTTCACACACATGCGCTAACCCCCTGACTCCTACAAAATAGATAGGATGGTCACCTCCTTTCAGCAGGCAGAGGAGGGAATAGTGACCCTAGTAGAAGAGGACCTGGTAAACTCTTTGCCCTGAGAGCCAGCCCCCAGGCATGAGTTCTCAAATGTGCTGCCTGGCCCAGGGACCTAGCCAGGGATTGAAAACGGGACACAGCAATGTGGATTTCCAGGATGGGATCTAGACAAGTGGGAAGGGAGCCCAGTAAGTATTCGGTGAATGAACGAAGGGTTGGTTAGTTATTGTTGCGTCATAACTGGCCTTTCTTTCTGTGGTCTATATTTCAGTTTTATTTATTTTTCTCTCTTTTTAAGATATTTTGCAAGACAAAAAAATTTTTTTTTCTGGAAAAACAAGAGAGGAGCTCTCACGTGGTCTCAGCTCCCTGGTTGACATGGGCTTACACTGCCGACCCTGGGCTTATAATGCTGTGCAAAACAGAGGACACCTAAGACTCCCACCCTCTGCCAGATGAGGAGCTTAGTTGGCCCCATTTCAACAAGGAGAACAAGAGCTGTATGAAACCAAAAGCAGAAAAATGAAACTGCCACTGTTTCTGGGTTTGCCTGTAAGGATCTTGGAGGGAGGATCTAGCTACTCTTGAATCTCCTTAGATTCATTTTAAAAAGTAACAAGGCCGGGTTCGGTGGCTCAGCCTGTAATCCCGCACCTTTGGGAGGCTGAGGTGAGTGGATTGCCTGAGCCCATGGGTTCGAGACCCACCTGGGCAGGCGAGACCTCATCTCTACAATAAATCAAAAAAAGTAGCCGGGCATGGTAGCGTGCGCCTGTAGTTCCAGCTACTTGGAAGGCTGAGGTGGAAGGATCGCCGGAGCCCAGTAAGTCGAGGCTGCGGTGGCCGGGAGTGGTCACTGCACTCCAGTCTGGGCGACAGTGAGACTCCAACTCAAAAAAAAAAAAAAAAAGTAACAAGAGAAACTGTGGGGTGGGGGGGGCAGGATTAGCAGTAATGGGAAACTGTGGGGGGGCGGGGAGCACACCTCATCAACAGGTGTACCTGCAAAATGAACAGGGGTACCTGCGTAATATACTTAACGCTAAATTGTACCCCACATCTTTAAAATAAAAAGATTAAAAACAAAACAATATGAGAAAAGAAAAAAAAGTAACATCTACCTAAGGAAGATTGAAAACATAGGTCTTCACAAAGGTTTATACTTGAATTTCATAATAGTTTTGAGAACAACTAAAAAGTGGGAACTTCTCAAATATCTTTCACTTAGCATATTAATAAATGGTAGTACTATTCAATAATCAAAAGGAATGAACTATTGATTCAGGCCAAAGCATGACTGAATCTCAAAATAATTATGCTTGAAGGAAGCCAGACATAAAGAGTACATATCGTATACTTTCATCTATAAAATTCTAGAATTTTATAAAATGTTAGAAAATGTGAACTCAGTGACAGCAGATCGGTGGTTGCCCGGTGATGGGGGGAGTGGGGGAGGGAGTAGAAAGAGACACCAGAATTGACATCAAGAAACTTTGGGGTCAATGAATTTGCTCTTTATCTGGATGGTGATGACGATTTCATGGAGTACACATATGATAAAACACCAAACTGTACAATTCAAACTGGTGTGCTGTTTATGATACACCAATCTGACCTTAATTAGAGCTATAATTATGAAAGTAACATGACTATCATCAGAAAAAAAAAATGGAGATGAGGTGAAAGAGTGCTTCTCCTTTATTTTCATGGTGGGCAGGAAAGAATTTGTGTCAGGTTCTCTTACCGTATCAGTTACATCAGCTCTTGGAGGTAAGTGTTATTAATATTATCTTCATCTCTTTTATAGATTAAAATTACACCAGGGTTCAGAGACATTAAGAAACCTGCCTGGCTGGGCGTGGTGGCTCATGCCTGCAATCCCAGAATTTTGGGAGGCAGAGGCAAGAGGATTGCCCAAGTCCGGGGGGTTCAAGAGCAGCCTGGGCAACTTGGCGAGACCTCATCTCTACAATAAATCAAAAAATTAGACGGGCGTGGTGGTGTGCGCCTGTGGGTCCAGCTCCTTGGCAGGCTGAGGTGGAAGGATCGCCTGAGTCCAGCAGATCGAGGCTGTGGTGGCCGTGAGCGTGCCACTGCCATTGCACTCCAGCCTGGGTGATAGAGTGAGATTTCTACTCAAAAAAAAAAAAGAAAGAAAGAAAGAAAGAAAGAAAAAGAAGGAAAGAAAAGATAAAGAAGAAACCTGCCTGGCTGGTTTCTCACATTTGTGAGATGTGGTAGCTGACATCTGTAATCCCAGCACTTTGGGAGGGCAAGACAGGAAGATTGCTTGAGGCCAGGAGTTCGAGACCACCCTGGGCAATATAGTGAGACCTTGTCTCTACAAAAAATAAATAGATAAATAAAAAGAAACATGCTTGAGGTCACCCAACCAGTGTATAGTTAGTCCCAATGGGGAACTATTTACGTCTAGAGCCCTGTGTTCACATGAGGTTATCTCTTCTTTTAGGAATGGTATTCTGAAAAGTTCCAGACTGCTTTGATAACATGGTCAAAGGACTTTGGTTTATGACTAGGTGGTGAGTTATTAGTCTGTTCTGCATATGTATGCTGCAGGCCTTCAGGAGCCAGAGCAGGGCAGGCTGCAGGGGAGGGGTGAAAGTCCCAAGGGAAGTTTACAAAGGTGTGGGGTCCACCAGGCTTCCATGCTGAATGTGTGAATGGTACCCCTGTGTCCACCCACTCACTGCCCTCGCCAGCCGTCCAAGCCCTACTCTCCGAACAATCCTCCTTTTCCCCTCAGGAATCCTGACTCCACGACCTCCCAAACTTCACTCCCAGCCTGTGGTGGGAAACTGAAAAGAAAGGCCTATGTCTTCACAGACCCCCCCCCAAAGAGGGAAGCGGGGGCTAAGGAGTGCATGAGGGCCCGATGCTCTGGGTTCTAGGTTCAGGGCCTCAGGACTCACCATCTCAGGAGTAAGGGTCTGAACTCCAGGTGTGGATCGTAGAGTTAGTGAGGCCTTGGGTGGAGGAGGTAGGTCCTGCCTTGATGGGTGGTCAGAGAAGATAGGGCAGCTTTAGTGGCCTGAGCGGGATAGGAGGCCAGCGGGGAGGGAGGAGGGTGCCCATAGCAATGGTGTCACATTGGAGTCAGTCTAAAGCAGAGTATATGTGCTCATGGACTCTTTCCCCTACCCAATCCTATATTTTGAGGGCAAGCAGAGCCTCAACCTTGTGTGTGTCCCCTTGACCCCTTGGCCACTGTGCCTAGATTGTAAGCACCCACCAAGTGCCTGGACTTGTTGCCAGGCTAAGAGAAGTGGTGCTTCCCTACAAGAAAGCCACAGAGCAGAGAAGAAAGGAGCTCTATGAAGCAAGAAGAGACATCTCTGGGGTGGGAGGGCTGGGATCAGAAAGGAAAGGGGAAGACAGGAAGAGACTGAAGGGTCTCTCGGGGCAGTAGAGGCCACGGGGGAACACTTTCGGACAGTGAGGACATATAGCGAAGGCCCTCTCTGTGACAACCAGTGCCTAGCGGCAGAGGCACGCCCACGTGTCTCCCCACCCACAGACGTCCCAGGCCTTGCATTTCAGCATGTTCTCTCACACTCTGATTGCCCTCTCCCGCCTGGAAGCCTCTAGGCTGAGTGAGAGTCCATGAGCCATGCCAAATATGGCCACTCCAAGTGCCCTCCCTTCTGCTCAGTGACCCTCTGGTTCTCACCTGTCCCTCGGCCTTCTGTTCATCCTTCTCTCCATCCCTCAAAGACACGCCAGACATTCTCCCTACTAGTTGCCAAGGAATAGAGGGGGCACACACAAGGTTGAGGCTCTGTTTGCCCTCAAAATGTAGGCTTGGGTAGGGAAAATGTGGATGTGATCTCACTTGCCTCAGCCCCATGTGATAAGCTTCAAGAAGACGCAGAGCCTGTCTGTCCCCTCTGCCTACCCAGTTTGCACTTTTCTTCCCACCTCAGAGGAAGGAGTATCCTGGGAACAGCAGGTCAGCTTACTTGCTTCCCACCTCTGTGAGGGCCCCCAGGCCTGAGCCCTTAATGTTGCCTTGGCCCTTTCCCAGCCGTGCATAGGCTCTGAGGTCTCCTGAAGGCTGTCCTGCTCACTCCTTCCCTGGATTCCCCCTTTCCCCTCCTGCCTGGCCCAGACAGCTCCCCTCCAGCATCTGGACACAGCCTGTCTAACTCTCCCACCCCCATCCCTGCCCAATGCAAACCATCTGGACCGTTCTGGCTTCAGCTTCCTAAACCACTGTGTGTCCTCATTGCTGCTGATTTAAAACCTTCAGTGAGCTCCTCTGGACCACTTAACCTTCTCTACCTGTCCTCCAGAGGCCTCCCCAGCCTGGCCTATATCTTCCTAACCTGATGTCCTCTTGTGGGTGAAAACCACGGCCACTTCTCAGCCTTCTCCACCACACTGCTCTCTCTCATGAATTCACGGAATGCCCTCTCACTGCCCTCAACTTTTCTGAGTCTTGCTCAACATCTTGAAGCTCATCTCCTTCTGGAGAAATCCCTAGTGGGCCTGAGCCCTGTCCTGCCTGGGCCTGAGGCTAACACTGCCTGGTAATGGCAGGCGTCTTTGAGGTGGAGGCTGGCTCTTCACTTCCTTGTTCCTGCATCACCTTGGCCAGGTTACATGCACGCTAGGTGCCCGGCTGATGGCATGGCCTGAGCAGGTCCCAACAGGGGCAGCGCTCAGTCTCTGCTTGTGGGGAGCTCTGGGCTGGCGGTCAAGGTGGGGTTCTGGGAAAACATGGTGGTTCCTCTTTGCAGGAAACCCTCAGGGGTTCAGTTCCATGCCAGGGTTCATGTTCCACTGCTGGAAATGCCCAGCCCTGGGTGTGTCCTGAACAGCAGAATAAAGGAGTAGGTCCCCAGCCCAGCCTTCCTTCTGCTTCTGGATGCCTCAAAGGGCTTTCAGCCTGGGCCCTGCCCTGCTCTGCCGTGTGTTCTTGGGAAAGGTGTGGCTCAGACTTTGTCCCTGCCAGCGGGACTCTGTCCAGGGCTCCTCCCTCCAGCTCTGCCTCATGAGCTTTGAAGTCTCCCCATGCAAGGCCAGGACCCTGAACACAGACCTCGAATCATGAGTCAGAATGGCAGTTTCTTGAGACAGGAGTGGCCGCGGTGGGGTGTGGAGGGGGTAGTGGGTTTGTAGGAAAGGAACACTGTGCTTTAAGCCATCCTGTTGCCCTTTCCCATCTGGAGGGTCCACCTTCCTGGTCACTGCATTCTCATGCAACCCTGCCTTGCCTATCCTCTTCAACACTCACTCGCCCACCCAGAGCTAGCAAGTGACACCAGTGACTTCTAGGGGCTCAGACCTTAGCCAAGAAGAATGGTTTCCGAGCACTGTAATGTGAGCTTGGAACGGGGTCTGGTGGGATCCAGAGGCAGGTGGAACACAGGGACTTCGTCCAGGAGCACCATTGCTGGCTGGGGAGAGAGGGCCAGAAACTGCAGAGGGACAGGGCATGGGTCTAGGGAGCAGACAGGGAGGATTCCCTGGAAGGGGTTTGCTGGACAGGAGACAGGAGGGGAGGAGGCCAAGAGGGTACCTCAGGATCTCCTCCACCAGGTCACAAATGGTCCCCAGAGCCAAGTCTTCAATGTATTCAGGTCCCAGTGGGTTGATGGGAGGCAGCCTTTGGGGACCCTCAAAGGATACTGTGGCCAGAAGGTGGTTATCACGAAGTAACCTGAGGCAAGAGGAAAGTCACACTTTGTCCCAGATATGGTTACCCATGTTATTTCATTTCATCTCCAAATACTCAGTGAAGTGTGTACACTATAAAATGAGGACTTGAGAGATAAGGGACACAGCCCATGAGGGTGACATCAATTTGGAATCCACCATCCCTCCCCCCCCCCTTATGACAAGGTTGAGGAGTAGGGCAAGACCAGGGTGCTTCTATTTTCTTGATCCAGGTGCAGGGCAACCATTCCGGAAACAGTGAACTAGGTCTGAGTGGCTCTGCCCTCATGGGTGGAGCCTCCGCCTGGCCTGTGCTCCCAGGGGCTCTGTCTGCCTCGGTGTGTGATTCAAAGGGTCTTTCCTCCCTGCAGGCCTCCTTCCCCTTCTCTCCTTGGTGAGAGTCCCGACTTGAGCCATCTTATACTGAGGGTGGCCTCCAGGTCTGTGTTCTAAAGACCACGAGTTGGGTCCAAATACGGTCTGTCTGGCAGGGAGGGGGTGTCGCTTGAGCTGGCAGCTGGCCTTGGAAGGGTGGGGAACCAGCCGGGGAAGAGTTGTGACCCGGGCCTGAGCCCGAGGTGCCGGGACAAGCCGCCTGACCCGGACGGAGAGAGGGAGGGCACAGAGTGAAGTGTCAGCAGAACCGCGTTGGCAGGGCCACCGGGGAAAAGCGCCCTGAGCAGGAGGCAGCGCCTTGGCTTCTCGCTTTGTGCATGTCACAAACAGGCTGTGCGATCTGGGCAGATGGCGGCGCCTCTTTGGGCCTCCGTCTCATCAATAAAAGCCGACTTCTACAACCGGATGGCTTCTCTCGCGCGACAGAGTTGAGAGGTGGGGGCTCCAGAGACTTGGGGGAGGAGCTGAGGAGCAAGACGGGAGAAGGGGAACCGCCGCCCCGACCCAGGACCAGGCCGGCGGGCTCTGCTGCCCCCTCGTGGTGGCACAGAGAAACAGAAACGCGGGCTCACTGGGGACGTCTCGCTGGTTCCTGGAGACCTCTCTCCAGGACAGAGAGTGGGCACGGTTAGGGGCCTCTACCCCCCACCGGCTCCCTCAGGGCTGTGTGTGTTCTAGGTACCCAGAAAGGCCGGCGCAGCTACGCACAGGATAGCAAGGATTATTCACTCACATCATTCCACAGGCTCCGAGGAAGGGTCTATAGCATGCAGGGCACAGTGCCAGGCCCTGGGGATCCAGAGGCGCTTGGCACGTCATTCCTGCCCTCAGAGAGCCTCTGTCCAATGGGGGAACAGACAGGTCAACCACAGACTCTGGAGAAAGTGGGAGACGGTGGTGGCTGCTCAGAGGTGTGATTTCTTGTGTGAATAGCACTGGGAAGCATATGGCCAAGCAACTGCCAGGCCCTGTTTGACGGTTGGTTTGTTTTGGGCATGCAGGCTTCTGGCCTGACGGACCAGGAGGGCGTTGCCCCTGGGTTAAAGGAGTCTCTCCCTGTAGGACCTTCCAGAAGAGTTGGGCCACTCTCCCTATGGGATGCTGGATTCCCGCCTGTGCTGCCGCTTTCCTGCCCCCATCCTCCAGAAGAGGTTCACAAAGACCCTGCCTGGTCCCTGCAGCCTCCTCCCTAGGCCTGGTCTGAGGTCCTGAGTTCCTAAGGGGGTGGAGAGCATTAGGCCTCCCTCCTGGGCCAGTGCTCTGTGGGTGTCCTGGATTGTGTGGGGCAGGCCAAGGGGAGCTTGAGGCCTCTGGAATCTTCTGAAGCTGTCCGAGGCTGGACTGAAACTCAGCAGCAGCCTGTGTGGGGCAGGACACAAGGAGGGTGGGAGAAGGAGAGAGAGGGTGTGCACATGTGTGTGTGTGTGTGTGTGTGTGTGTGTGTGTGTGTGTGTGTGTGAGAGAGAGGCCCAGGGTGCGGAGCCTGGGTGCGTCATGGTTGCTGGGAGAGCAGACGAGTCTGACTCAGTAGGGACATCCGGCAGGAAAGGAAGAGACAGACAACGCAGTGGCATTTGCAAGCAGGATGAGCACTCTGGAGATGGGGTGTGGGGCCTGGACAGGGAAGGTGCTAAGCATGGTGGGGAGGGAGAAGGGCAGTGCAAGAGGTTGGACCTCTGGCTGCCTGGGTTGGTCTGGAAGGAGAGAGAAGGCGGCGGGCTCTCTGCTCTGGAGACACAGGGGGCAAGCTGTGGTGTGGGGTTAGGGAAACCCGGGCCTGGTCTGTCAGGGATGTGGGGAATGCAGGGGCTTCTGAAATTTACCTCAGGGCCTTGTTCAGAGCCTTGTAACTACTGAAACAGACCCAAGGCATGCCTAATCCAGACAGACAACCCCTCTCTGTTAGCACCCCCAAGCCTTGGGTCCCGGAGGCTCTAGAGTGGGACTGCTAGGCAGGCTGCCCCCCTGAGCAGGGAGACCAGTCTCAGATGTTTGAGGAAGATTTGGGGAGAGGCTTTCCTGAGAAGGGCTGCTTCCTTTCTTGGAGTCAGAGAAACCAGAAGGGTCAGCCTTAGAGAGCAAGACCAGGAAGGGCCCAGAGTTAGGAATCTGAGTGAGGCAGGCTGTTGGCCAGCTCTGAGCTGTGATGGCAAGGACCCTGGAGGAAGGACAAGCTCACAAAACAAGGAGCTAGAAGCCCAAACAGTGGAGCACCCTGGGAGTGACTGCACGTTAAAATCCAGTCATGCAACGCCTAATAACAGGGATACATTCTGGGATATGCGTCTTATACAAACCTAGATAATATAGCCTACCATATACCTAGGCTACATGGTATATAGCCTATTGCTTCTAGGCTATAGACCTATGCAGCGTGTTTCTGTGAATATGTAGGCAACTGTACACAATGCTAAGTATTTGTATATCTAAGCATATCTAAATGTGGGAGAGGTGCTGTAAAAATACAAGATAAGAGAGCGACTGGACACAGTGGCTCACGCCTGTAATCCCAGCACTTTGGGAGGCAAAGGTGAGAGGATTGCCTGAACCCAGGGGTTCAAAACCAACCTGGGCAACTTGGTAAGATCTCTACAAGAAATCAAAACATCGGCCTGGTGTGGTGGTGGTGTGTACCTGTAGTTTCAGCTACTGGAAGGCTGAGATAGAAGGATTGCCTGAGCCCAGCAGGTTGAGGCTGAGGTGGCCATGATTGTCACTGCACTCCAGCTTGGGAGGTAGATTGGCAGACGGATTCAAAAAAATAAAAAATAAATAAAAAGTGGTACACTCGTGCAGGGCATAAATGGAGCTTGCAAGACTGGAAGTTGATCTGGGTGAGTCAGTGAGTGATAAGTGAATGTGAAGCCCTGGGACATTACTGTACACAACTGAAGGCTGTATAAACACTGTATGCTTAGGCTATACTAAATTTATTTTTAAAAAATTATTTATTCAAGAATAAATGAAACTTAGCTTACTATAACTTCCTTTTTTTTTTTTTTAAGTGAGAAAGCAGGATTTATTGAGAGAACAGAAAAGTTCCCACGGTGGAAGGGAACCCAAAGGGGTTGCCCTACTATAACGTCTTTACTTTATAAACTTTTAAATTTTTAATAACTTCTTCGCCAAGTTGCCCAGGCGGGTCTCGAACCCACGGCCTCAGACAATTCACTCACCTCGGCCTCCCAAAGTGTGGGATTACAGGCTGAGCCACCGAGCCCGGCCAGATATTTTTCTTTATATCTTTATTCTACGTGCTTTTTTCTACTTTTAATTTTAAAAGTTTTTGTTTTTACTCTTTAAACTTCTGTGTTAAAAATGAAGACATAAACACACATTAGCCTAGGCCTACGCATGGTCAGGATCATCAGTATCACTGTCTTGACCCCCACATCTTGCCCCACTGGAAGGTCTTCGGGGGCAATAACACGCACAGAGATGTCATCCCCTATGAAAACAATCCTGCTTCTGGAATACCTCCTGAAGGACCTGCCTGAAGCTTTTTTACGGTTAACTTATTTTTTTTAATAAGTAAAAAAAGAAGACTCAAAAATAGTGATAAAAAGGCTAGTAAATACATAAACCAGTAGCATAGTCATGTATTATCCTTATCGGGTATTATGTACTGTACACGAGTGCAGGTGCTATCCTTTTATACAACTGGCAGTGCAGTAAGTAGGTTTGTCTACACTAGCATCACACAGACAAGTAATGTATTGTGGTACGATGTTACAAAGGCTACGTCACCACTAGGCCACAGGGATTCTTCAGTGCCATATAATTTTTTTTATTTTTTCTTGAGTTGGAGTCTCACTCTGTCGCCCAGATTGAAGTGCAGTGGCATGCTCACGGCCACCACAGACTCAACCTGATGAGCTCAGGGGATCTTTTCACTCCAGGCACGTGCCACCACGGCCAGCTAATTTTTTGAATTATTGTAGAGATGAGGTCTTGCTAAGTTGCCCAGGCTGGTCTCGAACCTATGGGTCCAGGCAATCCTCTCACCTCAGCCTCCCAAAGTGCTGGGATTATAGGCATCAACCATGAGCCACCCCGCCCAGCTTCATATAATCTTATGGGACCTCTGTCATACGTGATCTGTTGTTGACCAAAACATTGTTATGTGGTGCATGACTGTACAGAGAAGACAATGTTTAACCTAAAGGAATGAATGACTAATGGTGTTATCTTAGGTATGTGGTGGTGTTTGTCTGCCCAGGGGAGGTGAACTTCTTGATCCCTCCGAATTACTTAAACCCATACTAAGGAGGAGAGGGAGCAGGAGAGGGGAGGCACATTTGGGGTGGGGTCCTCAGACCAAGGAACCTGGTAGGCTGGGCTGCATCCTGTAGGCCTTTTTCTACTAATGGAAGGGACAGAGGCCTACACTGGTCACCCATCTTGTCTGCAGCAGGCCCAGGCTGGAGCTGTGCTGGGGCATAGGGCCTGGGGTGAAGGCAGGGCCTGAGCAGGCAAGCCTCCTGTGTGGGCCAGGCCCACCAGGCAGAAGTCCCTGCCAGTCTGTCTGGGGATCCTGGGGTGGGGCAGGGAGAGGTGCCCGGCAGAACCAGCTGGTTGCCAGTGCCCTGGTCCTCGCCCTCTGAAAGTGGAAGGGTGGGGGTGGCGGCCACGGCGTTCCTGGCAGGGAGCCCAGAGGAGTCTTTTGTAATCACAACATGATCTCGTGTGCTGAGCAGCGAAGCCGGCAGGGAGAGGCCGGCAGAGGCCCGGCTCCAGTGGCTCCGGCTTCCCTCCCACTCTGGCTCCCCGGGGGCTGCTCTGGAATTCTCTCGGTACCCGCTGCTGCCATGCACTCGGCTGTGAGTGGCACTTCACCTTTGGCGGGGGGCTTCTTGGGACTGGGAGGGGGCTGGGATACCAGGCAGCCACACTCTGGGGGCAGCTGGGGACAGCTGGGCCTGGGAGGAAAGGGGCTGTGATGAGGCGGTTGGAGGCCGGGGCAGGGGCACTGACCACGGCTGAGACTCTGCGGGCAGAAAGGAGCCCAGGATCTTGGTGCAGAGACATGGCTTGCTCAAGGTGGCTCCCTGGCTGGGGCTGCTGAGGGAGCTGGCTCTCTTCTGCCCCGAACGCCAGCAGCTCAGGCTCTGGAGAGGCTGGGCCTGTGGGAGCGGCTCTCTCCTACCGGCTGGAGAGTGGGGTCCAGGGCTTGAGAGCCCAGGACGTAGCTGGGACCTCTTTTTTTTTCTGTGGTTCTGGGAGCCAAACAGCTCCCCGCTCGACCTCCCGAATCCCCTGGCAGCCTCCCAGTCACGGCAGGTTCCACTGCCAGAGCCATTTATAACTCCCAATCCAGGCTCTGCTCGGCGTGAAGCTCCCTGGAGAGCCGGGGGGGAGGGGCGGCCCCCTGCTGGGAGCTGTGGCTTCGGGTACTAGGCCCTGACCTTAGCTCCCCCCAGGAGGCAGCGACAGGCAGACAGGCCCAGCTGGAATGGGGGCTTGGGGCCTTCTACGGGCCGTCTCCCTGAGTAACCCCCTGCTTTCTCACGTGACCTTAGCTGTGAGTCTGGGGTCTGCTCCTTGGGTGGTGAGAATAAGGTTGGGTGGGTGGATGTGAAAGTTGGGAGACAGTCAGGAGCCTGGGTTCCCGGTCCCCTGCAGAGGCCTCACAGAGCCGAGTCCCCAGTGAGCAGGCAGGAGGAAAAGGATGCTGAGCTGGATCGGAGGATCGTAGCCTTGCGCAAGAAGAACCAAGCCTTGCTACGCAGGTACCAGGTGAGTGGGCTGTGATGGGGGCCGAGAGGACCCACGTGGTTGCCACTCCCTGGCTGGCCCCCATGAGCCTGTGTGGTGCTCTCTCCCTGTGGGCTCAGGAATGTGTCTTTGGGCCCGGGGCCAGGGTCAGGGTGGACACGATCCCTCTCAGAGGCTTGGTCAGGGTCCTGGGGACTTGTGATGTGCGGCCTCTGCCCCCTGGTGTTCCGCTGGTGTCTCTCTGTGTAGGCCTGTCGGCGTTTGTGTCTCTGTGCACCTGAGGGGCTATGGCCTGTGCTGACCCTGGGTTTTCCCACAGGAGATCCAGGAAGACCGTCGGCAGGCGGAGCAGGGGGGCATGGCTGTGACCACACCAGGGCTTTTCCGATCCGATGGCCTCACTGTCACCATCAGCCAGGTTCCTGGTGTAAGCCTTGCACTGGGAGATAGGGCGGGTGGCAAGGAGGTGGAAGCCCAGCCCATGTCAGGGAAGGCAGCAGCCCTTTTTCCCCTCCTTCCACTAACTGTTCTGGGGGGCACCCCCCAGCTCCCAGGCTCTGCTGCCCCCCTACCAAAAGGCCACAGCTGAAAGGGCCCCCAGTAGAAGCCTTATACCCTTTCTCAGTTACCCAGGCCTGCACCTGTGCCCCAAAGCACAGATCACTCCCAACCCAAGTCCAAGGGGGCCAAAAACCCTGCAGGAATTGGAAATAGAGAAGTCGGGGCAGAATGCTAGGAACAGTGTCTGAGGGACAAAGCCCCATTGTTTGAGGGCTCTTGGTTTCCCAGCTCAGAGATGACGGACCACTGTGGCATCTTGGGCCTCCGGGTGGCCCTGGGCCCTGGATAACCTAATGCCATTGGCATGTGAACACCCGGTGGGAGTCAGCTCCTCTGTGGACACTGCAGGGAGGGCTGGGGCTGGAACCTTGGCCCGGGGAGACACCCAGAGGACCCAGCACGCAGGTCTTGCCCGGCGCAGCCCATTGTGGCCTGAGCAGCTTCGTTCTGCAGGAGAAGCGGGTGGTCAGCAGGAACTGGGCAAGGAATGAGATGCTTGAGGATGAGGATGCAGAGGACCACACAGGTACTTTCTGCTTGGGGGAGCGAGTGGAACTGGCTGTAACCATGGAAAACAAAGCTGAGGTGAGCTGGGTAGGTGGGAAGTGCAGGTGCTGGGTGGGTCACCCATCCTCTCCAGCTCCCACACTGCTCATCTTCACTTCCCCAGGCCAGACGGATTGTGAGTGAAAAGCCCACCAGAGCGAGGAACCAGAGCACAGATGGGCCACCTGGAGGGCGCGTGGGCCGGAGTCCCCCCGTGCAGATGTCCATCAGCTCAGATTCTGCATGGAAGGTACATCTTCAAGAGGGGACGGGGACATGGATGTGGAGGTGCCCATTTGGGGGAGGCAGAGAGGCTGTGTCAGATATGTCCCTCATTTGGGGGGACAGGGTGGAGGCAGCACCTGTAAGAATTCCCACCCCCTTCCTTTCTTTGACCAGTCTCCAGCTTGGGTGGACCTTGCAGTGAGAGACAGTTTAAGCCAGAGATGAGATCCAGCTCCCTACCCTATCTGGCCTCATAGGTAGGCAGGGAAGTCAGGGAGGGGGCAGGCGGTTGTAGGGGACTGGCCATGTGCCAGGTGTGACCTCTAGGTGGCAGCAGCCCCCAGTCCTTGCTCTTGCTCACAGCCTCAGGGTGCCACTCCCTCTCTGGGCCAGTCTCTACCTTCCTGCAGCGATCCTGTGGGTAGGTGCTATTGTTATCCCCATTTTACAGAAGGGGAAATGAGACACAGGAGGCCTAACTTATTTGCTCAGACACACAGCTGACAAGCAGACAGAAACCGTGCCTATGGGAAACAGAACATCAGAGAGGGAGAAAAGCAGATTTTTAGATGGGGATGTGGAAATCTTGAGAGAAGAAGGGCTTAGAATCTTTGAATCTCCACTCCAGGCCTCCTTCTGCTTCAACTCCGTGGGGCTGAGTGTCTTCTCTTTGCAGGGTGCTCGGGAACCCCGGAGTCCAGGCGTGGCCCCAGGACCAGCTCCCCGACGGCCAGGGGGGGAGCCCCCGGAGGTGGGCTGGGACTATGTCCAGTGGAAGCAGGAGCGGGAGCAGATCGACCTGGCCCGCCTCGCCCGGCACAGAGATGCACAGGGTGACTGGCGCCGCCCGTGGGACCTGGACAAGGCCAAGCCCACGTGGGTGGCAGGGCTGGGCTGGGGTAACTGTGGGTGCTGCTTGGAGGGCTGGTAGGACCCTCCCCAGGGTGGAGAGGACCTTGCCTAGGCCCTCTAGTCAGGCCCTGGGCTCAGGGCTCTGTGTGGGCATGGGTCCCTGTCTTTCTGGGGCCTACCATCTCCCTGCTGCCCTCCATTCTTGGACTGGGATTCAGTGGGGGGTAATGTTAGGGGGTGGGGCCTGCTGTTCTGTCTGCACCAGCAACCTTACCCCCTCCTCTGTCCACACAGGCTACAGGATTGCAGCAAGCCTAGGGAGGAGGGTCCAGGCAGGGCAGGGAGCCGAAGGGGTGAGCCAACACCTACCTCACCCGTCCCTTCCTTGACTTTTTCCACCCCCTATCTCCTTGTCCTCTCTTTTCTCTATCTCTTTGTTTCCTACTTATTTTCAGAGCTGAAGGGAGGCATCGGAGAACATCTTCCTTCCGCTCCCTGACTATCAGAGGAGGGCACCAAGACTGCCCCTCCTGCCCTCTGAGCCCATAGCTCTTGTCCAGGTTCTGATTCCAGAAAGTCCCGGGAGGAGGCTCAGTGGAGGCCTGCCCTGGGGTCCTTTGGAGGTGCAGGTCTCTAATGGGTGTAGTGGCATGGCCCCTGGCCTGCTGTAGGAAGAGCTCTGTGGACTTCTGGGCTTCTCAATTTGCATACAAGTCAAGACACCTAGCCAGGCTCTGCTGACCCCCAGGCCAGGCCTCTTTTGGGGAGGCAGAAAACCCACAACTGGACTGAAGGCTGTAGCTTCTTGGTGCTGGAAGAACTCGTGTTCCTGCTTTATGTGTTCTTTGGCACCACACCCTTTCCCCATTTCCTTTGCCTCCCTTAGGCCCCAGGAGCCACCGCAAGCAACAGCCCCCACCACTGCCCCCTGATGGAAAAAGTGAGTTGGAGGAAGGGGACGACCTGGCTCCTGATAACTGACAAGGGAGCCAGCCGACCTGGCCCTCTTCTCGCCTTGATTTGTGTACTATGCCCTGCAGGTCGGGGTGGACAACTCGGCAGACCCTCCGTGGCGACCGCCACAGGCAGCAAAGCCCGGGGAAAGGAGAGGCTGACTGGCAGGGCCCGAAGGTAACAGGTGTCACGGGACAAAACTGAAGCGGGCATCTGGGCGTCCTGACTTCCTGGACCGACACAGGCCCAGGTGCCTGCTCTGTCCCTGGGGCCCCTGCCTCCTAGCTGACTGCTGCCTGATGGCAGGTTAATGAGATGTGGGAGAGGCCATCCGCCGAGGAAGCAGCAGCAAGAGACTGGTGTCCAGGGAGGCTGGTGATAATTACAGCAGCTCCCTTCCCCCGGGAAGTGAGGTGTGTCTTTCCCAGGCAGTGCAGGCAGAGACATGTCTGGAGTCCCCACAGAACTCAAGGCAGTGCAGGCTTGGCCATAAACAACAGCTGGGAACCCGGGATGGGGCTAGGGTGGGTGGTGTTTGAAGGAAATAGTTTGATTTGGGGAACAAAGCCAGGCTGGGAGGGAAGTGTCCCGGAGCCTCATTCTGGTTCTAATCCCGTTCTGAGATCCTTGGGCTTCTCCCTGGGGCACACGGGCCACCAACTATGGAGAGGGTGGCATGAAGTGGGGCAGGGGAAGGAGCAGGGCCTGCCACGTGCTGTGTTTCTTTAGGTGGGATACGAAAGAAGACAAAGATGAGCTGGAGAGCCAGGAGGTGGGTATTTGGGCATAGGATGGGCGGGCTGGGGACATGACCCCTGAACTTAGCAGCCAGCTGGGTCATTCTCTTGTTTCAGGGAAGCCAAAGCACAGAAACGGCCCCCAGTGAGGAAGAACAGGCGCAGAAGCAGAGCGGGACAGAGCTGGGCAGGCTGGGGAGCGCCCTGGCACCCAGCCCAGCCCTAGCATCTCCGGAAGGGCCAAAGGGAGAGTCAGGGGCTTCCACAGCCAGCTCAGGCCCCAGCTCTCCACAAGAGACTGACTTGGTTCCCCTTGACCTCTCTCTGGGAGGGGGCCGTAGCCCTGGGCCTGGGGAGAGCACGTGTGTTCTTAGTCCGAGGCCTGGGACCCAGGAGAGCTCTGCATCCTGGCCAAATGGCTCTGAGCAACCTCTGGGGTGGAATGACCACCAGGTTGAGCTGGAGGTCCAGACTTGCCCTGAGCCACAGAGAGAAGCAGGGCCCCCTGAGCCTAGAGAAGACAGGTCTGGCAAGGCTGGAGCCCAGCAGGGCCTGGCTCAGAGGAACAAGCTCCTCAGGGGAACCAGCCAAAGGGCAAGAGGCACAGCAGGTGTGAGGAGCAGGACAGGGCGTCCTGGCCCTGCAGGAAGATGCTGAGCAAAATTCTGGGTGCTGGGGAGCCAGGTGGGGAGAGGAAGAGGGAAGAACTCAGTCAAGAGTCTTCTATCTGATGGGCATCTTGTAGCTGGTGGCTTGTGCCGGTCTGACTGAGCAGTGTGACAAGCTCTCCAGCAAGGCGGCCTTGTGAGGGCAAGGAGCCTGTGCACATGTGTGCTTTCATGTGCAGGCACAGCCCCTACTATATTCCTGTGCTGGCATCTGGTGTCTGAGGCTGGTGAGCCCTGACCCGGGCCTACTGCTGTGCAGGTCACATGCCTTCTCTGCCGTGATGAGAGAGCAAGGCTTGATAGCACTCAGTACTTGGATCTCCTGGCTCTCAGTCATTCCTCAGGGCCTGGTCCTGCTCTCCAGCCACAGGCTTCAGGCTCCTCCGGTCCAGGCAGCCTCAACAGCTGGCACGGCCAGTCCAGGCCTGGGCCCTTTCCTGTGCCCCTGCCTTGCACTCGTATGATCCACAGTTCCAGACTCATGGAAGGGCCAAACCAGGGGAAGCTCAGTAATTACCTGCCAGCCTCCTGCCTCTCCGGAAGAGGAGGCTGAGGCCCAGAGAAAGGGAGTTGACACAGCTGACCAGGGCTGGGTTGGGAATCACATAGCAGCGCTCAGATCTTCTCTGTGAAAAGGAGGATCTCTGGAAAGGCTTCCTCTCTGAAATGGGGCAGGGTAGAGAAGGGAAAACCTCCTCTCCCCACAGCAGGGTGGGAGAGCTCACTGTCAGGCTGCCCTCCCCCACACCCAGGTCAGACATTACGAGCACCAGAATGGAGGCAAGGGCCTGGCCCTGCATCCCGGGGTCATTTCCTGCCCTCTCCTACTTCCTCTCTCCTCCCCACCCCACCCCACCCCCCTGCACTAGCACCAGGGCCGCATAGAAACAAGGATCAGACAGGGGCTCAAGACACAGAGGAACAGTGACTTCCAGCTAAGTACGACATCAGGACTTGTCTTTCTCGCTCAGTCTCCATTCCTGCCCCTCCCCTGAGGCCCACGTCTAGTGAATTATCCAGACTCCGCACAAGCTGTGGCTTCCTCTCAATTCAACAAACATTTCCTGAGCACCCACTACCAGTAATTCAGCCGGTAGGCGATGGTGACTTTGCCAGCAAGAGGGAGGGAGGGAAGAAACCCAGTCATCCGGCAGATCAAGGCTGAACAGCAGGAGCTGTTCTTAGCTGCAGGTGCTTGGCAGGGCTGAGGGAAAGATGGTGGGAGGACCTCAAAGGGAACCATCTCACCTCTGCTTGGCAGAGATAGATGCTCCCCTCTTCTGTTCTACATGCCCTCTGCTCCCAAGCCCTTGCCTGGATCTCACCACATGGTCCCTTCTGCTCCTCTCTTTTCTGGTCCTGCCGTGGTTGCTCCTTTCTGCTGAGGGCTGTGGGCCTCACATACCCCTTGAGGCTCCAGGGAGAGTCTGACCACCCCCAGGATTTCTCCACTATTCAACATGAGGCCTAAACAGTGGGATCCCAACTCGGACTTCCTCACTGGCTCTCAGCTTTACCACCCAACCCCTCTATTCAGAAAGGTAGGAGGGGTATCTCTTCAGCAGAGCAGACCGTTAGAGAAATGCTTCTCACATCTAAAGTGAAGAATAATGTAGGTTCTAATTCAGCAGTCTGGGGAGGTAGAGCCGAGAGCCAGTGAGGAAGTCTGAGCTGGGATCCCACAGGGCTGGGCTGGGAGGTAGGACCTGAGACTTTGATTTCCAGTAGGCTCCAAGTGAGGCCTAAGCTGGACCACACTTGTGAGTAGTAGGGGTTTGGGCCAGGATATATGGAAGGCTGGGGGCGAAACAGGATCTAGACCCTAAGGGCGGGTTTCTGGCTATGTAGGGGATGGTGGAGGGCTGCCCCTGCCAGGTGGTGGGGGCTTCCTGGCTTCAGAGTTGGGCAGGAAGCTGAGACTCCTGGGGAAGATGCTTTATAGGACAGTGAGTGGGTGGTGCCAACTTCCTGCAGTGCACAGTGAGAAGGCTGGTTAGGAATGGGATGGCATGAAGGAAGTGAAAAAAGTTGGTGTGGGGTCAATCAAGAGAGTTCTGGAAAGGCTTGGAAACATTCCTGTGAGACATGGCTAGTGAAGACTCCAAGGTCAAGTTTTTCTCTTGCCTTCCAGTCCCAAGTGTATGGCATGGGCCCGGGAATCCATGACTGCCAAAGGATGGGGCTTGGGTTGAGCAGGTTCAGGCACAGCCCTTGGATTCAGATGTCTCCAAAAATCACTGTGATCAAGAAGTCAAATTCTAAGATTCACAAACTGCTCCCCAGCCCCCAGCGCTGCCAGCTGCACAGCTGTGACTTCACTGCAGGGTCTACGCCCAGGCACGTTTGACCTGGGGTGAGGATGTAGGAAGCAGGCTGCATTTGGTTCAGCCCTCACGATGGGATCTAAGCAGGAGAGAAGGCTGAGCAGAAGGGCTGTGGAGAAATAGGACTTCTCTTTAGCAGCAACACCGAGAAGGCTGTCAGGAGGAGGTATGTCACGGGAGTCCCAGGGGCTAGAGAGAATGGAGACTGGCACAGGACATCTTCATTTCAGGACAGTTGTAGTACAGGCAAATGACACTTAACTCTTCTCAAAAAAGGGAGAGCTTTTCTTCAAGATAAGGGAAGCAACAGCTATGGTGGTGACTCCCAGCTCTCCAGATTGTGGCCACCCCTCCTGCTCTAGAATGGAACCAGCTATGGAGCAGGAGGAAACAGAGGTAGACACCCCTCCACAGACCTTGGGGTCATGGAAAGCTGGTTGTCTTTCTTCCTGGCTCTTTTTTTTTTTTTTTTTAGTTGGAGTCTTACTCCTTTGCTCAGGCTGGAGTGCAGTGGCACACACGCTCACAGCCACCCCAGCTGAACTGCTGGAGTCCAGCGATCCTTCCGCCTCAGGCTTCCATCCCCCCACCTTTTTTAAAATGTTCCCTCAGTTCCTTTGCTTAAAGGCCTGACTGGGAGCCTTCCACTTGGAGGTCCTTCTCCAACCAACAGGCAAGACTACTCTTCAAAGGTGAAAGGGCTTCATTAAATACAGCTATCAAGAACCCAAGCACAGGGCTGAAGGACATGAGGAAGAAGGGCACACAAGAGCAGGAAGGAGATGGGAAGGAGAGGATGGCTTTACCTGAGGCCCGGAACAAGGAGGGCAGAAGAGGCAGAGGCCTCTCCATCCCAGGTCCATCCCTGGCAGATGGTGGAAGGGAAATGCAGTAGACCAGACTATAAGAAAGACATGCTTGGTGACCAGATGTTTTGGTCAAGTAGAACAAGCACAGGTCTCGGAATCTGACCGACTGAATCTGAACCCTAGGTCTGCTGTCAGCTGGGTGACCTTGGCCAATTTTAACCTCTAAAAGCCTCAGTCTCTTTATCTGCAAAACTAGGCTAGTAGTACCTACCTTGAAGCGCTGCTGAGAAAATTAAAGATAAGAGTATGCAAAATATACCGACACGCAGTAGACACTAGTCACAGTAGCCTGGTACACAGAAGGCACTCAGTAAATATTTGTTGAATAAATGAAGTAGCTGTTTGGTGTGATCTCTGTCAACTGTTTTCTCTTTCCTGTTGCCCTTTCTTCTAGCTTCGTCTTCGCTGGGGGCCAATATGCTTTCAGGGAAATGGGGTGGTTTGAAAAGTTTTTCCAACCCTCCAGGACAGTCAGCTTCTTTGAATCCCTGTGTGATCTAGTGGGGTTAGAAGCCTCACAAAGGGCCCCTGCTTTCACAGGGCCTGTCTTCACCCACTGGCTCCATCACAGCTCAGGGGGCTTCCTCTTTTCGTCTGTTGATATCAGTAGCTATCTCACAAACTCATACCACAGTGTTTGCTTCTTTATTTTCCCCAGAAATCTCCTTGCAGAGTTTGTTCCATGCCTCCCAGAGTTATGTCTATCACCCAGAGGGGCAACATGACTGGATTTCTTATGGCCAAAAGACAGGTAATCGGGGATCCTTGGAAGCAGGGGATCCCAGCTCTCCAATAAGGCACAAGTTTGGAAGGTTTGGCCACCAATCAACTCTAGTCCCAACTCTGGTCTCAAGGGCAGGGATAACAGGAAAAGAGGGCACTAGTCCCCAAAAAGAACAAAGGAAATGGCAAAAATCCATATATGGCCATATATTTTTATTCTGGGGACTAAATCAAGGGGAGGGTCAAGCGAACAGGAGAAACAAGACACTCTTTTACTTTTGTCTCGAGTCATTTATCAGTGTCCACAGACCCCACACACATCTCTTTCTAAGCCAGGGTTATCAGGGCTTCTGAGAAAGGGCTGACAGAAGTTGACCACAACCCCACCAAAGGGGGAGAACTCCAGGCTGGGAAAGGGAATGACAGGAGCCAGCAGAAAGCATGGACCGAGGCTGCTTTCTTTCCAAGTCTGCGGGGCCTTACGTCACAGCCCCTCATTAAGCATCCACTTGACGCTGGGGAAGTGAAACAGCACAGACCTGGCACCAGAAAGAACGAATGTGGCACCCACTGCTCCTTTTAAGGACTGGCTCGAGAAGCAGCAACCCTCAAGGCAGGAGGTGAGGCAAACACATCAGTACCTTTGTGGGAGAGGGAGGAGGGACTCTTTCAGGCCTGTCTCTTTCTTAACAAGCTCTCCAGGGTCAGTTCTCCGGCAACTGTCAAAAATAATGGACAGCGTAGGCTTTTTCCCTTCTCTTACAAACACTGGGGACACAGTGTTTCCTCCTTCCCCAGCAGGGCAGCTGGTTTCGACCAAGAAAAAGGGTCAAAAGTCACCTTGATAATCATCTGTAAAAAACAGAAATACCCTAAACCTTAAGTTACAGCATCAGAGGGAAAGGCTGGGCTAGTGGCTGTCAAGCTCTAGCATGCATCAGAATTACCTGAAAGGCTAGTTAAAACAGAATGCCGAGCCCCACCGAATTTCCCCTTTAGTTGGTCTGGGATGGGGCCCGAGGTGTCATAGTTCTAACGAATTTCCAGGTGATACAGATACTATTGGTCTGGTG